AGTAGCCGCTGCCTTGGCAGGAACTAATGGGGATCCATAATAAACCCCAGGAAGAGTAGCTGCTGCCTTGGCAGGAACTAACGGGGATCCATAATAAACCCCAGGAAGAGTAGCTGCTGCCTTGGCAGGAACTAATGGGGATCCATAATAAACCCCAGGAAGAGTAGCTGCTGCCTTGGCAGGAACTAACGGGGATCCATAATAAACCCCAGGAAGAGTAGCTGCTGCCTTGGCAGGAACTAACGGGGATCCATAATAAACCCCAGGAAGAGTAGCTGTTGCCTTGGCAGGAACTAATGGGGATCCATAATAAACCCCAGGAAGAGTAGCTGCTGCCTTGGCAGGAACTAATGGGGATCCATAATAAACCCCAGGAAGAGTAGCTGTTGCCTTGGCAGGAACTAATGGGGATCCATAATAAACCTCAGGAAGAGTAGCTGCTGCCTTGGCAGGAACTAATGGGGATCCATAATAAACCCCAGGAAGAGTAGCTGCTGCCTTGGCAGGAACTAATGGGGATCCATAATAAACCCCAGGAAGAGTAGCTGTTGCCTTGGCAGGAACTAATGGGGATCCATAATAAACCTCAGGAAGAGTAGCTGCTGCCTTGGCAGGAACTAATGGGGATCCATAATAAACCTCAGGAAGAGTAGCTGCTGCCTTGGCAGGAACTAATGGGGATCCATAATAAACCCCAGGAAGAGTAGCTGCTGCCTTGGCAGGAACTAATGGGGATCCATAATAAACCTCAGGAAGAGTAGCTGCTGCCTTGGCAGGAACTAATGGGGATCCATAATAAACCCCAGGAAGAGTAGCTGCTGCCTTGGCAGGAACTAATGGGGATCCATAATAAACCCCAGGAAGAGTAGCTGCTGCCTTGGCAGGAACTAATGGGGATCCATAATAAACCCCAGGAAGAGTAGCTGTTGCCTTGGCAGGAACTAATGGGGATCCATAATAAACCCCAGGAAGAGTAGCTGCTGCCTTGGCAGGGGGATCCATAATAAACCCCAGGAAGAGTAGCTGCTGCCTTGGCAGGAACTAATGGGGATCCATAATAAACCCCAGGAAGAGTAGCTGCTGCCTTGGCAGGAACTAATGGGGATCCATAATAAACCTCAGGAAGAGCAGCTGCTGCCTTTACAGGAACTAATGGGGATCCATAATAAACCCCAGGAAGAGTAGCTGCTGCCTTGGCAGGAACTAATGGGGATCCATAATAAACCCCAGGAAGAGTAGCTGCTGCCTTGGCAGGAACTAATGGGGATCCATAATAAACCCCAGGAAGAGTAGCTGCTGCCTTGGCAGGAACTAATGGGGATCCATAATAAACCCCAGGAAGAGTAGCTGCTGCCTTGGCAGGAACTAATGGGGATCCATAATAAACCCCAGGAAGAGTAGCTGTTGCCTTGGCAGGAACTAATGGGGATCCATAATAAACCCCAGGAAGAGTAGCTGCTGCCTTGGCAGGGGGATCCATAATAAACCCCAGGAAGAGTAGCTGCTGCCTTGGCAGGAACTAATGGGGATCCATAATAAACCTCAGGAAGAGTAGCTGCTGCCTTGGCAGGAACTAATGGGGATCCATAATAAACCCCAGGAAGAGTAGCTGCTGCCTTGGCAGGAACTAATGGGGATCCATAATAAACCCCAGGAAGAGTAGCTGCTGCCTTGGCAGGAACTAATGGGGATCCATAATAAACCCCAGGAAGAGTAGCTGTTGCCTTGGCAGGAACTAATGGGGATCCATAATAAACCCCAGGAAGAGTAGCTGCTGCCTTGGCAGGGGGATCCATAATAAACCCCAGGAAGAGTAGCTGCTGCCTTGGCAGGAACTAATGGGGATCCATAATAAACCCCAGGAAGAGTAGCTGCTGCCTTGGCAGGAACTAATGGGGATCCATAATAAACCCCAGGAAGAGTAGCTGCTGCCTTGGCAGGAACTAATGGGGATCCATAATAAACCCCAGGAAGAGTAGCTGCTGCCTTGGCAGGAACTAATGGGGATCCATAATAAACCCCAGGAAGAGTAGCTGCTGCCTTGGCAGGAACTAATGGGGATCCATAATAAACCCCAGGAAGAGTAGCTGCTGCCTTGGCAGGAACTAATGGGGATCCATAATAAACCCCAGGAAGAGTAGCTGCTGCCTTGGCAGGAACTAATGGGGATCCATAATAAACCCCAGGAAGAGTAGCTGCTGCATTGGCAGGAACTAATGGGGATCCATAATAAACCCCAGGAAGAGTAGCTGCTGCCTTGGCAGGAACTAATGGGGATCCATAATAAACCCCAGGAAGAGGAGCTGCTGCCTTGGCAGGAACTAATGGGGATCCATAATAAACCCCAGGAAGAGTAGCTGCTGCCTTGGCAGGAACTAATGGGGATCCATAATAAACCCCAGGAAGAGTAGCTGCTGCCTTGGCAGGAACTAATGGGGATCCATAATAAACCCCAGGAAGAGTAGCTGTTGCCTATTTACTACAGACTGTGCTCTGTACACTACCATATATTTTCTAGCGTCACTTGTTTTCTCAATTATTTTAATTGCCTCCGCATAAGAGATTTGATTGGTCGCTCTAACGTTTGCCACCTCAATCTCCTTCACCCTTACAGGGCACTCCAGGAACTCAGGATCATGATCCCCACCACAATTGCAACATCGTTGTCCTTCTGCACACCGTTCTGCAATATACTCTGTCCGTCTGCACACACTTGAAACACGGCCAAATCCTTTACAAGTTTTACACTGCAATGGTTTGGGGACAAAAGCTGTTACAGCGTATCTTACATAACCAAGCTTCACATGCGCTGGTATCAGGTTTTTGCTCTTTATCAAAAAACAACAGGACTGACAGACTTTCTTCTTTTTCTCCATTCACCCAGCGGGTCAGACGCTGGGCACCAACCGCTCCAGGAATTCTCTTCAGGGATTCAACCTGAACTTCCGTCGTCACCCCTGAGATGTCTCCTTTGACTGGTGCTCTACTCCGAAGTTCAAAACACAAAACTTCTGTTGTCCGGATTATTTGGAGGCTCACTTCAATCTTCCCCTGTTCTTCAGAAATCAAATTAATCAAAATAAGACCAGTCCTGGTCACTCTGACAGACTCCACTTTTGCTGACCTTCCAGGCAGAGTTGCAAAGAAAAAGCCATATCTCAGACTGGCCAATAAAAAGAAAAGATTAAGATGGGCAGTCTGAGATATGGCTTTTTCTTTGCAACTCTGTCTAGAAGGTCAGCATCCCGGAGTCGCCGCTTCACTGTTGACGTTGAGACTGGTGTTTTGCGGGTACTATTTAATGAAGCTGCCAGTTGAGGACCTGTGAGGCGTCTGTTTCTCAAACTAGACACTCTAATGTTTTTGTACTCTTGCTCAGTTGTGCACCGGGGCCTCCCACTCCTCTTTCTATTCTGGTTAGAGCCAGTTTGCGCTGTTCTGTGAAGGGAGTAGTACACAGCGTTGTACGAAAGCTTCAGTTTCTTGGCAATTTCTCGCATGGAATAGCCTTCATTTCTCAGAACAAGAATAGACTGACAAGTTTCAGAATAAAGTTATTTGTTTCTGGCCATTTTGAGCCTGTAATCAAACCCACAATTGCTGATGCTCCAGATATTCAACTAGTCTCAAGAAGACCAGTTTTATTGCTTCTTTAATCAGCACAACCGTTTTCAGCTGTGCTAACATAATTGCAAAAGGGTTTTCTAAAGATCAATTAGCCTTTTAAAATGATAAACTTGGATTAGCAAACACAACGTGCCATTGGAACACAGGACTGATGGTTGCTGATAATGGGCCTCTGTACGCCTATGTAGATATTCCATTAAAAATCTGCCGTTTCCAGCTACAATAGCCATTTACAACATTAACAATGTCTACACTGTATTTCTGATCAATTTGATGTTATTAAAAATTAAAAATTAAATGCTTTTCTTTTGAAAACAAGGACATTTCTAAGTGACCCCAAACTTTTGAACGGTAGTGTACGTTTTTCCAGAAGCAGTCTATGATCGATAATGTCAAAAGCCGCACTGAAGTCTAACAAACAGCCTCCATAATCTTTTTATCATCAATTTCTCTAAGCCAATCATCAGCCATTTGTGTAAGAACTGTGGTTGTTGAATTTCCTTCCCTATAAGCATGCTGAAAGTCTGTTGTCAATTTGTGTACTGTAAAATAGCATTATATCTGGTCAAACGATTTTTTTGCCAAAAATGTACTAAGAGTTGGTAACAGACTGATTGGTCGGCTATTTCAGCCTGTAAAGTTCAGTATTCATCATGAACTAAGATTTATTTTTTATTTTTATGAAAAACAACAAACCAAGTGTTTCCAGTGACAGTGTTCAGCTGCATACAGTTATAAATTGTGGGACAAGTCTCAAAGAAATCTAAGAAACTGGACATTATTGTGGCTGTGGCAGAAAGGTTTTTGGGACTTAAGGATTGTACATATGAAGACTTGCAAGGGGTACTGGCGTCTTCCTCCCAGGTTCACCTTGAGCCTGTGTAGGGATCAGATCTTGTTAGTTCAGTTTAATTATTTTTTATAGTATGGTAGTTGTTTTGGTATTTTGTTCCATTTTTAGGAATCCTGTTTCCATCCCGCACAGTAGGTGGCGGAATGCACAATGAAGAAGAAGAAGAAGAAGAAGAAGAAGAAGAAGAAGAAGAAGAAGAAGAAGAAGAAGAAGAAGAGCCGTTTTGCGATCTTTTTACGACAGTAGATGGAGTCCTCAACGTTGCCAGCTCAATTACGGTTTTCTTTTTAGAATTTTCTGGCCAATGCCAATCCTGCTGTAACATGCACGGAACGACAGCCGTAAAGCGTTGTGTTTTGATTAAGGAGGTCATTGGAAAGTGAGCATCTAGCTAGCTACCTGGGCCGGTTCGGGGGACAGAAAGACACTTTATTGCTACCATTGGTATCAGACATTCTGTTACCTGAGTAGCTCCAAGTGAATCTGAAAGCTGTTTAGCGACTAAACCAATAAAGGCGAAATGCTCCGTCTGGTCCTGCGGCTGAGGCCGTCTGCAGCGTTGCCTCGGTCCCGCGGTGCCCTACCTGGGCCTGCCCTGAGCTCTCGTCCCGCTCTGGGACCCTGTCATCTGAGGCGCTATCACGGCTCTGTCCGGTCCAAGGCTGTTTGCAATGGAGGTCGTTTCAACACCGTGGTCTTCGCCAGCAGAGCGGCCCTGCTGCAACCCCCCAAGCCCATCATGGGAGCCCAGACACAGCGCTTCTACAGCCTGCCACCGCACCAGAAGGTATGACGACTTCGCTAGCTGACTTCTGTGCTTGTGTGGGCTCTAAAAGGTCCGTTTCAGACAGAAACGTTAGCTTTGCTAGCTAACTAGCTAATGGTATTGTCTTTATTGTAGCTAACAACATCTATCGGTGGAGTAGCAGTCATTGACAGTGACAAGGGATAACCATCTTAATCAGTTAGCCACCCAGAGTCGTTAACTAACCAGCTAGTTAGCGGTGTCCCTGGTAGCGGTGTCCCTGGTAGAGCGTTGTGCCAGTAACCGAAAGGTCGCTGGTTCTAATCCCCGAGCCGACTAGGTGAAAAATCTGTCGATGTGCCCTTGAGCAAGGCACTTAACCCTAATTGCTCCTGTAAGTCGCTCTGGATAAGAGCGTCTGCTAAATGACAAAAAATTTATATGTAATAGCGGCAGCTAACCAGTCCCTTGTAGTAGCGGCAGCTAACCAGTCCCTTGTAGTAGCGGGAGCTAACCAGTCCCTTGTAGTAGCGGGAGCTAACCAGTCCCTTGTAGTAGCGGGAGCTAACCAGTCCCTTGTAGTAGCGGGAGCTAACCAGTCCCTTGTAGTAGCGGGAGCTAACCAGTCCCTTGTAGTAGCGGGAGCTAACCAGTCCCTTGTAGTAGCGGGAGCTAACCAGTCCCTTGTAGTAGCGGGAGCTAACCAGTCCCTTGTAGTAGCGGGAGCTAACCAGTCCCTTGTAGTAGCGGGAGCTAACCAGTCCCTTGTAGTAGCGGGAGCTAACCAGTCCCTTGTAGTAGCGGGAGCTAACCAGTCCCTTGTAGTAGCGGCAGCTAACCAGTCCCTTGTAGTAGCGGGAGCTAACCAGTCCCTTGTAGTAGTGGGAGCTAACCAGTCCCTTGTAGTAGTGGGAGCTAACCAGTCCCTTGTAATAGCGGGAGCTAACCAGTCCCTTGTAGTAGTGGGAGCTAACCAGTCCCTTGTAGTAGTGGGAGCTAACCAGTCCCTTGTAGTAGTGGGAGCTAACCAGTCCCTTGTAATAGCGGCAGCTAACCAGTCCCTTGTAGTAGCGGCAGCTAACCAGTCCCTTGTAGTAGTGGGAGCTAACCAGTCCCTTGTAGTAGTGGGAGCTAACCAGTCCCTTGTAGTAGTGGGAGCTAACCAGTCCCTTGTAGTAGCGGCAGCTAACCAGTCCCTTGTAGTAGCGGCAGCTAACCAGTCCCTTGTAGTAGCGGGAGCTAACCAGTCCCTTGTAGTAGTGGGAGCTAACCAGTCCCTTGTAGTAGTGGGAGCTAACCAGTCCCTTGTAGTAGCGGCAGCTAACCAGTCCCTTGTAGTAGTGGGAGCTAACCAGTCCCTTGTAATAGCGGGAGCTAACCAGTCCCTTGTAGTAGTGGGAGCTAACCAGTCCCTTGTAGTAGCGGGAGCTAACCAGTCCCTTGTAGTAGTGGGAGCTAACCAGTCCCTTGTAATAGCGGGAGCTAACCAGTCCCTTGTAGTAGCGGGAGCTAACCAGTCCCTTGTAGTAGCGGCAGCTAACCAGTCCCTTGTAGCTAGTAGTGGGAGCTAACCAGTCCCTTGTAGTAGTGGGAGCTAACCAGTCCCTTGTAGTAGTGGGAGCTAACCAGTCCCTTGTAATAGCGGGAGCTAACCAGTCCCTTGTAGTAGTGGGAGCTAACCAGTCCCTTGTAGTAGTGGGAGCTAACCAGTCCCTTGTAGTAGCGGCAGCTAACCAGTCCCTTGTAGTAGTGGGAGCTAACCAGTCCCTTGTAGTAGCAGCAGCTAACCAGTCCCTTGTAGTAGCGGGAGCTAACCAGTCCCTTGTAATAGCGGCAGCTAACCAGTCCCTTGTAGTAGCGGGAGCTAACCAGTCCCTTGTAGTAGTGGCAGCTAACCAGTCCCTTGTAGTAGTGGGAGCTAACCAGTCCCTTGTAGTAGCGGGAGCTAACCAGTCCCTTGTAGTAGCGGCAGCTAACCAACTTGCTAACTAGCAGTGTCCGCGGTAGCAGCGATCAGATCTGACCCGCTTGCTTACAGCTGCACAAAGGTCAGGCAGCATTCCCGTGTATATTAGGACATGGTGGAGCCAGGTCGAGATATGGCCTGAAAAACATACTTCAATCCAGGGATGAGAAATGCATTGTATTCTTTATTGACCCATTATTTACCTGACCCATATGCATTGGGTGCATAACCTGATTAGGGCGTCTACGCACGGTGCTCAGAATGACAGAAATCACGTTTAGATTATGGTAATTCATATTAACAGAGGAAGCAATGATGTGTGTCCGTACCGCTCACTTTGAAGATGTTAGGATAACTGTCAACATTTACTTTCCCTCAGGCAACAAGATGAGTAAGGAACCGCAAAATCACTAGCCTATGCATAGGTGCAGCGTGAGTTTCAAGTTTGGGGAAGCAAATTTTCACCATAAAAATGCACCTTTATAATAAAGGATTCCATGCATCATTGCATTTGCAGACTTACAGTACCAGTCAAATGTTTGGACACACCTACTAATTCAAGGGTTTTTCTTTATTTTTACTATTTTCTACATTGTAGAATAATAGTGAAGACATCACAACTATGAAATAGCACATATGGAATCATGTAGTAACCAAAAAAGTGTTAAACAAATCAAAAAATATTTTATATTTGAGATTCTTCAAAGTAGCCACCCTTTGCCTTGATGACAGCTTTGCACACTCTTGGCATTATCTCAACCAGCTTCATGAGGTAGTCACCTGGAATGCATTTCAGTTAAAAGGTGTGCTTTGTTAATTTGTGGAATTAATTTCCTTCTTAATGCGTTTGAGCCAATCAGTTGTGTTGTGACAAGGTAGGGTGGGTATACAGAAGATGGCCCTATTTGGTAAAAGACCAAGTCCATATTATGGCAAGAACAGCTCAAATAAGCAAAGAGAAACGACCGTCCATCATTACTTTAAGACATGAAGGTCAGTCAATCCGGAAAAGTTCAAGAACTTTTAAAGTTTCTTCAAGTGCAGTCACAAAAACCATCAAGCGCTATGATGAAACTGGCTCTCATGAGGACCGCCACAGGAAAGGAAGACCCAGAGTTACCTCTGCTGCAGAGGATAAGTTCATTAGAGTTACCAGCCTCAGAAATTGCAGCCCAAATAAATGCTTTACGGAGTTCAAGTAACAGACACATCTCAACATCAACTGTTCAGAGGAGACTGTGTGGGTCAGGCCTTCATGGTCGAATTGTTGCAAAGAAACCACTACTAAAGGACACCAATAAGAAGAAGAGACCTGCTTGGGCCAAGAAACACGAGCAATGGACATTAGACCAGTGGAAATCTGTCCTTTGGTCTGGAGTCCAAATTTGAGATATTTGGTTCCAACCGCCGTGTCTTTGTGAAATGCAGAGTAGGTGAACGAATGATCTCTGCATGTGTGGTTCCCACCGTAAAGCATGGAGGAGGAGGAGGTGTGATGGTGCTTTGCTGGTGACACTGTCTGTGATTTATTTAGAATTCAAGGCACATTTAACCAGCATGGCTACCACAGCATTCTGCAGCGATATGCCATCCCATCTGGTTTGGGCTTAGTGGGACTATCATCTGTTTTTCAACAGGACAATGACCCCACACACCTCCAGGATGTGTAAGGGCTATTTGACCAAGAAGGAGAGTGATGGAGTGCTGCATCAGATGACCTGGCCTCCACAATCACCTGACCTCAACCCAATTGAGATGGTTTGGGATGAGTTGGACTGCAGAGTGAAGGAAAAGCAGCCAACAAGTGCTCAGATATGTGGGAACTCCTTCAAGACTGTTGGAAATGCATTCCAGGTGAAGCTGGTTTATAGAATGCAAAGCTGTCATCCAGGCAAAGGGTGGCTATTTGAAGAATCTCAAATATAAAATATATTTTGATTTCTTAACACTTCTTTGGTTACTACATGATTCCATATGTGTTATTTCATAGTTTTGATGTCTTCACTAGTAGAAAATAGTAACAAATTAAGAAAAACCCTGGAATTAGTAGGTGTGTCCAAACCTTTGACTGGTACTGTATATATGTGTTACTGCTCGACTAAAACAATCTGGGTCAACCAACAGCCTAACAACCAAACAATCGACCAGTCGACTAATTGGTGTCAGCCCTAGAATAGATTGGATAGTCATAATTTAGTCTAATAATATAACTCAATCACTGTTTGCAGAAAAGACAGTTTAGTGCTGAGCGCCTGGGCTATAGGCTATATCAGATATGTGCTGAGCGCCTGGGCTATAGGCTATATCAGATATGTGCTGAGCGCCTGGGCTATAGGCTATATCAGATATGTGCTGAGCGCCTGGGCTATAGGCTATATCAGATATGTTTCTTATTTTTTACATGGGAAAAACACATTTTATGCAGTTCTACTACACTTTACAGTATATGACTGGAGACATTGGCAAAACCTTTTTTAATAGGACAAATTACAGGGTAACCTACTCTGCTGACACTGACAAACAGATCAATAAAAACGACGTCGTCCATATAATAGGCCTACGAGAAGGGGAGAGGCATAAACTGGAGGAGGAAAATATTGTCCAAAAACAAACTTTTAGTGGCACTGACCCAACAATGATAGTGAATATGCTCAGTGCTTCCTCACCAGGGATCTGATGCTCTCTGCTGTGAATATGCTCAGTGATCCCTCACCAGGGATCTGATGCTCTCTGCTGTGAATATGCTCAGTGCTTCCTCACCAGGGATCTGATGCTCTCTGCTGTGAATATGCTCAGTGATCCCTCACCAGGGATCTGATGCTCTCTGCTGTGAATATGCTCAGTGCGCCCTCACCAGGGATCTGATGCTCTCTGCTGTGAATATGCTCAGTGATCCCTCACCAGGGATCTGATGCTCTCTGCTGTGAATATGCTCAGTGCTTCCTCACCAGGGATCTGATGCTCTCTGCTGTGAATATGCTCAGTGCTTCCTCACCAGGGATCTAATGCTCTCTGCTGTGAATATGCTCAGTGCTTCCTCACCAGGGATCTAATGCTCTCTGCTGTGAATATGCTCAGTGATCCCTCACCAGGGATCTGATGCTCTCTGCTGTGAATATGCTCAGTGATCCCTCTCAGTGATCCCTCACCAGGGATCTGATGCTGTCTGCTGTGAATATGCTCAGTGATCCCTCACCAGGGATCTGATGCTCTCTGCTGTGAATATGCTCAGTGATCCCTCACTAGGGATCTGATGCTCTCTGCTGTGAATATGCTAAGTGATCCCTCACCAGGGATCTGATGCTCTCCTCTGGTGCCAATAAGACAGGTTATAGGCCTACTGTTGTTCGATCAATTAAGTTGAGAATTTTGATAACTAAAAGACAGATGTAGTATTTTCATTGTCTTCTCTTTACAGCAAAAACAATTTGCTTTCCAAACTGTTTTCCCACGATAGTATTTTGAAATGGTGAATGGGAAACGCGCTTCAATTACCAGTTGAGGAATAAAAATACGAGCTGTTTTTAATTGGGGCCAAAAAGCTATTTTTAACACACAATTGCGTTTATAATTGTTGCGCAATGATTGGGCTTATAAAAGCGTTGTCTGACAGATGTTCCCCTCCAAAGCTCTGTATGCTGTACGCGTGTGGAAAAGTCGATACGTAACGGATATACACAAGCTCCAGACCTATAAGCATGACCGGTCAAATGTTTTTCCATCAATTAATATTTCCATCAAATGTCTTTCCATCAATTAACATTTCCGTCAACTGGTATTTCCATCAATGAACAATTCCGTCAACTGGTATTTCCATCAGTGAATATGCTAAAAATAATTATTTTGTGATGGGATTTATTTTCTTCAGGACAAATTGTATTTATTGGCTTTTCCATTTTTTTGATGGCCAAAAGCCGGCTATTACCTGCTAACGGGAAAGCCTGGAGTGTGTGTGTGTAAGAACGTGTGTGTGTTAGGTGGAGCTGCCTGCTCTGTCCCCCACCATGCAGACTGGAACCATCGCTCTAATGTGTCTGTGTCTGTGTCTGTGTGTGTGTCTGTGTGTGTGTGTCTGTGTGTGTGTGTGTCTGTGTGTCTGTGTGTGTGTGTGTGTGTGTGTGTGTGTGTGTCTTAGGTGGAGCTGCCTGCTCTGTCCCCCACCATGCAGACTGGAACCATCGCTCTAATGTGTGTGTGTCTGTGTCTGTGTCTGTGTGTGTGTGTGTGTGTGTGTGTGTTAGGTGGAGCTGCCTGCTCTGTCCCCCACCATGCAGACTGGAACCATCGCTCGCTGGGAGAAGAAGGAGGGAGACAAGATCAACGAGGGAGATCTGATAGCAGAGGTGACTAGTTATAGTTAGTTACCTGATAGCAGAGGTGACTAGTTATAGTTAGTGAGAAGCAGTTCAGATACTAACCCTAACCTGATCACTGAGGTGAGAAGCAGTTTAGATACTAACCTGATCACTGAGGTGAGAACCAGTTCAGACACTAACCTGATCACTGAGGTGAGAACCAGTTCAGATACTAACCTGATCACTGAGGTGAGAACCAGTTCAGATACTAACCTGATCACTGAGGTGAGAAGCAGTTTAGATACTAACACTAACCTGATCACTGAGGTGAGAACCAGTTCAGATACTAACCTGATCACTGAGGTGAGAACCAGTTCAGATACTAACCCTAACCTGATTATTGAGGTGAGAACCAGTTCAGATACTAACCTGATCACTGAGGTGAGAACCAGTTCAGATACTAACCTGATCACTGAGGTGAGAACCAGTTCAGATACTAACCCTAACCTGATTACTGAGGTGAGAACCAGTTCAGATACTAACCTGATCACTGAGGTGAGAACCAGTTCAGATACTAACCCTAACCTGATTACTGAGGTGAGAACCAGTTCAGATACTAACCTGATCACTGAGGTGAGAACCAGTTCAGATACTAACCCTAACCTGATTATTGAGGTGAGAACCAGTTCAGATACTAACCTGATCACTGAGGTGAGAACCAGTTCAGATACTAACCTGATCACTGAGGTGAGAACCAGTTCAGATACTAACCTGATCACTGAGGTGAGAACCAGTTCAGATACTAACCCTAACCTGATCACTGAGGTGAGAACCAGTTCAGATACTAACCTGATCACTGAGGTGAGAACCAGTTCAGATACTAACCTGATCACTGAGGTGAGAACCAGCGATGCAGTGGTAACAAAATAAGTGGGTAAACGCTGATCGCAGTTCCAGTGATCTTCAATGCATTTTTGGGCTAAAGGTGTGTAAAGGCTTCTACTAACTACCTAACATTTCCTCTGCCTGTTCAGATACTAAGGCTGCTTTCTAATAGTTGTTTGAATCAGAAGAAAGTTCGTTATTCACTTGGTGACCTGGACGTTTTTGACAGGCAGGTCAAGTTTGTTGAATTTGAGGAAGGACACTACATCAATCTACCTCCTCCTTCTAAAGATGCACAGGAGTGTCCTTAGCTATCAGTTACTACAGGAGTGTCCTTAGCTATCAGTTACTACAGGAGTGTCCTTAGCTATCAGTTATTACAGGAGTGTCCTTAGCTATCAGTTATATCAGGAGTATCCTTAGCTATCAATTATTACAGGAGTGTCCTTAGCTATCAGTTATTACAGGAGTACCCTTAGCTATCAGTTATTACAGGAGTATCCTTGGCTATCAGTTATTACAGGAGTGTCCTTAGCTATCAGTTATATCAGGAGTATCCTTAGCTATCAGTTATTACAGGAGTGTCCTTAGCTATCAGTTATATCAGGAGTATCCTTAGCTATCAGTTATTACAGGAGTGTCCTTAGCTATCAGTTATTACAGGAGTGTCCTTAGCTATCAGTTATTACAGGAGTGTCCTTAGCTATCAGTTATATCAGGAGTATCCTTAGCTATCAGTTATTACAGGAGTGTCCTTAGCTATCAGTTATTACAGGAGTGTCCTTAGCTATCAGTTATATCAGGAGTATCCTTAGCTATCAATTATTACAGGAGTGTCCTTAGCTATCAGTTATTACAGGAGTACCCTTAGCTATCAGTTATTACAGGAGTATCCTTGGCTATCAGTTATTACAGGAGTGTCCTTAGCTATCAGTTATATCAGGAGTATCCTTAGCTATCAGTTATTACAGGAGTGTCCTTAGCTATCAGTTATATCAGGAGTATCCTTAGCTATCAGTTATTACAGGAGTGTCCTTAGCTATCAGTTATTACAGGAGTGTCCTTAGCTATCAGTTATTACAGGAGTGTCCTTAGCTATCAGTTATATCAGGAGTATCCTTAGCTATCAGTTATTACAGGAGTATCCTTGGCTATCAGTTATTACAGGAGTATCCTTAGCTATCAGTTATATCAGGAGTATCCTTAGCTATCAGTTATTACAGGAGTGTCCTTAGCTATCAGTTATATCAGGAGTATCCTTAGCTATCAGTTATTACAGGAGTGTCCTTAGCTATCAGTTATTACAGGAGTATCCTTAGCTATCAGTTATTACAGGAGTATCCTTAGCTATCAGTTATTACAGGAGTGTCCTTAGCTATCAGTTATATCAGGAGTATCCTTAGCTATCAGTTATTACAGGAGTGTCCTTAGCTATCAGTTATTACAGGAGTATCCTTAGCTATCAGTTATTACAGGAGTATCCTTAGCTATCAGTTATTACAGGAGTGTCCTTAGCTATCAGTTATTACAGGAGTATCCTAGGCTATCAGTTATTACAAGAGTGTCCTTAGCTATCAGTTATATCAGGAGTATCCTTAGCTATCAGTTATTACAGGAGTGTCCTTAGCTATCAGTTATATCAGGAGTATCCTTAGCTATCAGTTATTACAGGAGTATCCTTAGCTATCAGTTATTACAGGAGTATCCTTAGCTATCAGTTATTACAGGAGTATCCTTAGCTATCAGTTATATCAGGAGTATCCTTAGCTATCAGTTATATCAGGAGTATCCTTAGCTATCAGTTATTACAGGAGTGTCCTTAGCTATCAGTTATTACAGGAGTGTCCTTAGCTATCAGTTATTACAGGAGTATCCTAGGCTATCAGTTATTACAGGAGTGTCCTTAGCTATCAGTTATTACAGGAGTATCCTAGGCTATCAGTTATTACAGGAGTGTCCTTAGCTATCAGTTATTACAGGAGTGTCCTTAGCTATCAGTTATATCAGGAGTATCCTTAGCTATCAGTTATTACAGGAGTGTCCTTAGCTATCAGTTATTACAGGAGTACCCTTAGCTATCAGTTATTACAGGAGTATCCTTGGCTATCAGTTATTACAGGAGTGTCCTTAGCTATCAGTTATGTCAGGAGTATCCTTAGCTATCAGTTATTACAGGAGTGTCCTTAGCTATCAGTTATATCAGGAGTATCCTTAGCTATCAGTTATTACAGGAGTGTCCTTATCTATCATTTATTACAGGAGTATCCTTAGCTATCAGTTATTACAGGAGTGTCCTTAGCTATCAGTTATTACAGGAGTATCCTAGGCTATCAGTTATTACAAGAGTGTCCTTAGCTATCAGTTATATCAGGAGTATCCTTAGCTATCAGTTATTACAGGAGTGTTCTTAGCTATCAGTTATATCAGGAGTATCCTTAGCTATCAGTTATTACAGGAGTGTCCTTAGCTATCAGTTATATCAGGAGTATCCTTAGCTATCAGTTATTACAGGAGTATCCTTAGCTATCAGTTATTACAGGAGTATCCTTAGCTATCAGTTATATCAGGAGTATCCTTAGCTATCAGTTATATCAGGAGTATCCTTAGCTATCAGTTATTACAGGAGTGTCCTTAGCTATCAGTTATTACAGGAGTGTCCTTAGCTATCAGTTATTACAGGAGTATCCTAGGCTATCAGTTATTACAGGAGTGTCCTTAGCTATCAGTTATTACAGGAGTATCCTAGGCTATCAGTTATTACAGGAGTGTCCTTAGCTATCAGTAATTACAGGAGTATCCTTAGCTATCGGTTATTACAGGAGTATCCTTAGCTATCGGTTATTACAGGAGTGTCCTTAGCTATCAGTTATTACAGGAGTATCCTAGGCTATCAGTTATTACAGGAGTGTCCTTAGCTATCAGTTATTACAGGAGTATCCTAGGCTATCAGTTATTACAGGAGTGTCCTTAGCTATCAGTTATATCAGGAGTATCCTTGGCTATCGGTTATATCAGGAGTATCCTTATGAAAGTGTTTTTTGATTATTTTCTACAAAACCAAAAAATCACAATTTCGGGAAGGGAATTATCTGGGAGTTTGAAGGTCACAAAATCAGAAGGAAAGGAGGGGAGAGAAGACGGAGAGCGTAGAAGAGAGAGAGAGGAGAGAGAGGAGGAGGGAGAGAGGAAGGAGGGAGAGAGAGAGGAAGTTAGGAGAGAGAGCGAGAGAGAGAGAGGACGAGAGGAGAGAGAGGAAGAGGAGAGAGAGAGAGGAGAGGAAGAGGGGGAGAGAGAGGAAGAGGAGAGAGAGGAAGAGGAGAAGAGGAGAGAGCGAGAGAGGAGAGGAGAGAGAGAGAGGCGAGAGAGAGAGGATAGAAGAGGAGAGAGAGAGAGGAAGAGGAGAGGGAGAGAGAAGAGGAGAGGAAGAGGAGAGAGGAGAGGAGAGGGAGAAGAGAAGAGGAGAGACGCGGGAGAGTAGAGGAGAGAGAGAGGAGAAGGAGAGGAGAGAGGAGAGAGGAAGAGGGAGAGGAGAGAGAGGAGAGGAGAGGAGAGGGAGAGGAGAGCGGAGAGAGAGGATGGGAGAGGACGAGGAAGCGGGGGAGAGGAGTGAGACGGAGAGTCGAGGAGTCAGCGAGGACGGAGGGCTAGAGAGAGCGGACGAGCGATAGCTGCGCGAGCGATAGAAGGCGGCGTAGTAGGAGAGATGATAGGCTAGTCTCTTCTATTCTCTCTCGTCTCTTCTATCTCTCTCTATCTCTCTCTCTCTCTCTCTCTCTCTCTTCTCTTCTCTCTCCCTTCTTTACTTTGAACTCCGTGATGTTTTGAACTTGTGTTCCTCTGTTTCATACATAGTGAACACAGACCTGGCTAACTGTGTGTGTGTTAGGTGGAGACTGACAAGGCCACCGTAGGGTTTGAGCTGTTGGAGGAGTGTTACCTGGCTAAGATCCTGGTACCCGAAGGAACTAGAGACGTCACCGTGGGAGCAGTCATCTGCATCACCGTTGACAGGTACGTCTGTGTTTGTGTGTGTGTATTCTATATTCTATATATATTTGTACTTTTACCCCTTTTTGTCCCCAATTTCGTGATATCCAATTGGTAGTTAGTCTTGTCCAATCGCTGCAACTCCCCTACGGACTCGGGAGAGGCGAAGGTCGAGAGCTATGCGTCCTCCGAAACACGACCCTGGCAAGCTGCAATGCTTCTTGACACACTGCTCGCTTAACCCGGAGGCCAGCCGCACCAATGTGTCGGAGGAAACACTGTCCAGCTGGCGAGCGAAGTCAGCTTGCGGGCGCCCGGCCCGCCACAAGGAGTCGCTAGAGCGCGATGGGACAAGGACATTTCAGCCGGCCAAACCCTCTCCTAACCCGGACAACGCTGGGCCAATTGTGCGTCACCTCATGGGTCTCCCGGTCGCGGCCGGCTTTGACACAGCCTGGGATCGAACCCGGGTCTGTAGTGACTCCTCAAGCACTGCGCCACTCGGGAGGCCCACTGTGTGTGTATTCTAACCTGTGTGTGTATTCTAACCTGTGTGTGTCATCAGTGCTGATCTGATCCCGGCCTTTAAGGACTTGACGTTGGAGAAGCTTGCCACTAGCTTTTCCCCTTCTGCAGCTGCCCCGCCCCCTCCCCCTGCTGCTCCTCCCACCGCCCCCGGCAGCTCCCTGCCCACCCATATGAAGGTAGGACACACACCAAACATTTCACTGGAGATGGACCAGTCCATTTAGTCTTATCAGAAACCTGTCTGTCTCCTCATCTGGGTGTTAGGTGTGTCTGCCAGCCCTGTCTCCTACTATGACGATGGGGACAGTGCAGCGCTGGGAGAAGAAGGTTGGAGAGAAACTCAGTGAAGGAGATCTACTGGCAGAGATAGAGACGGACAAGGCTACCATCGGTCAGTACACACACACACACAGGGTATACACACGACACGCGGGTGTGGGGTGGGGGCGGGTGTGGGGTGGGGGCGGGTGTGGGGTGGGGGCGGGTAGGTGACGAAAGAGAAAACAACAGAAAAAATCCTTCATATCTACAGGCTACATGGAGGTTTTTCTTTCATTATTTGTATCTGGCCTCAGCTTTAGAGCTGAACTGTCCTGATACACACCAATCACCACATTTAGAGCTTAACTGTCCTGATACACACCAATCACCACATTTAGAGCTTAACTGTCCTGATACACACCAATCACCACATTTTGGGAACTTTACTGTCGATCCACTGAGGCAAAAAGGGCAATGTCTGAGTTTAATTCAATAAGAAGGGAGGGTCAGGACAGTGATGTTTGGGAAAGATTTAGGTGAAGTGGTCAAAGAGGATGATAGCAGTGTTCCATGTTCTATGTTATGTGTGATGATTGTGTGGCGTTATACAAATTAGACTGTCACAAGACTGGGACTTTAAAATGGCGCGTCAAGGGAACTCTACTGTTCAGATGGGTTAAATGGAATAGTAGCATAGCTGAAATCTGGACACTGACTGTAGGTCAATAACCTCTCACAGCATCATATCACAGAGTTTCTAAACCCAGAGGCGCAACATCGCAAGACTTCCAGGAACGCTTGCGAAACAGACCAATCAGACCAATCAGACCAATCAGACCAATCAGACCAAACAGACCAAACAGACCAATCAGACCAATCAGACCAATCAGACCAATCAGACCAATCAGACCAATCAGACCAATCAGACGAGGCCGGGGTTTGAGAAGTCCATGAGAGAAGTGAAAAAATCTTCCTTAGTTGTTAATTTTCTCTAAATCTAAAGGCAGAACCTGGATTAGAGCCAATGTCTTCAGTAATTGATCATGTTATTACTCCAACCTCGTTAGAGTGACAAGCTGACACGTTTTCATTTTCCTCAAAAACTACTTTATGTCGAAGGAGTGCCTTTTGATTTGACGGCTGCACATGCGCAGTTCCCCGCGATACAACTGTTAGACCCAATGGCGCATTTCTGCGTGAGCTTAGCTAGCCACCGTTGCCATGACATCGCCTACAAGCGTGATCAGGGTTTCTATTGGAGGAGCAGTTTCTGCCTAGTTCCCCGCGATACGACCGTTAGACCCAATGGCGTGTTTCTGCACGAGCTTAGCTAGCCAACGTTGCCATGACATCGCCTACCAACGTGATCAGGGATTTCTATTGGAGGAGCAGTTTCTGCCTATCTCCATACTGTGCTGTCTTTGCTAATATTAACTCCAGCAGATTTAAGCCTTTTTCACAGTAAAATTATATGCCAAGTGTAAATTTGGACTGGCGAACATGATTGGAGAAATATTATTTATTTATTTCAGCATCTTCAGAGAATTAATGTGCGGTTAGGGACCGTTTGTAAAGGGGCTATCTTTATCAGCATCATAAAAGCTGATAGTATTTCAATGACAAAATATGCATCCAAGCCGAACTGAAATCAGAAACATGTTGGGTAGTTTTCAAATTTTCACAGCTTGTAATTTCTTTAAACCAGTCAAACTGATGTCATTTGGAAATTTTGCACGGAAAATCTTCTCCGTGTTTTTTGTTAATGCATTTTCTCTTCGGTGCCTAAACAGAGATGCAGAGATGAAAGAGAACTTTACCGATGTCAACTAGATTGAAGCGTTCATCGATTTTATGACATAATTGGTGAACAATGATTTATTTAGTCTTCTAGGGCAGTAATGACAGAGAAGCTTCATGTATCTAATTCTAAAGAAGTTGACTAACAAGTAGCCTAGCTTACCAACATGTTGGAAACAAAGGGCCTATCTAAAGGCTTAGAAATATATATCCTGCACCCCCTGTCAAAACATCACTCCGTCATCTCTGACTGTATAATGATTGTCACTATCACATAGTCAGGCGGTTGTCGATGGGTTATTAGCTATTGCGGGCAGGTGTGGATAAACAAAACAGCCGACCCACGCATCACTACCACACTGTACACATTGATGTTACTCGTGTGTGTGTGTGTGTGTGTGTGTGTGTGTGTGTGTAGGGTTTGAGGTGCAGGAGGAGGGTTACCTGGCTAAGATCATGGTGTCTGAGGGAACGCGTGACGTTCCACTGGGCGCTCCTCTCTGCATCATCGTGGAGAAGGAGAGTGACATCGCTGCCTTCAGCGACTACGTAGAGACCGCAGGAGCTGAAGTCTCCACCCCACCCCCCGCTCCTCCCCCCGCCTCAGCACCGGTAACACACAACATTCTGATGGCTTGTATTATAACTTGTTAGCTAGCGTTGTTAGAGATCTTGTATTATAACTTGTTAGCTAGCGTTGTTAGAGATCTTGTATTATAACTTGTTAGCTAGCGTTGTTAGAGATCTTGTATTATAACTTGTTAGCTAGCGTTGTTAGATATCTTGTATTATAACTTGTTAGCTAGCGTTGTTAGAGATCTTGTATTATAACTTGTTAGCTAGCGTTGTTAGAGCTCTTGTATTATAACTTGTTAGCTAGCGTTGTTAGAGATCTTGTATTATAACTTGTTAGCTAGCGTTGTTAGAGATCTTATATTATAACTTGTTAGCTAGCGTTGTCAGAGATCTTGTATTATAACTTGCTAGCTAGCGTTGTTAGAGATCTTGTATTATAACTTGTTAGCTAGCGTTGTTAGAGATCTTGTATTATAACTTGTTAGCTAGCGTTGTTAGAGATCTTGTGTTATAACTTGCTAGCTAGCGTTGTTAGAGAGCTTGTGTTATAACTTGCTAGCTAGCGTTGTTAGAGAGCTTGTGTTATAACTTGCTAGCTAGCGTTGTTAGAGAGCTTGTGTTATAGTCCCGTGTAGCTCAGTTGGTAGAGCATGGCGCTTGCAACGCCAGGATTGTGGGTTCGATTCCCACGGGGGACCAGTATGAAAAAATCAATAAAAATGTATGGATAAGAGCGTCTGCTAAATGACTAAAATGTAAAATGTTATAACTTGTTAGCTAGCGTTGTTAGAGATCTTGTATTATAACTTGTTAGCTAGCGTTGTTAGAGATCTTGTATTATAACTTGTTAGCTAGCGTTGTTAGAGATCTTGTATTATAACTTGGTAGCTAATTAGACATTTTCAAGATGGTTATCTGACAGTCTGGAGAATACCTGTACATCAACTCATAGAAACAGCAACATTGTGTGTGTGTGTGTGTGTGTGTGTGTGTGCTAGGTTGCAGCCCCCACTCCTGCAGCGCCCCTCCCCACCCCTAGCCCAGCCACCGTTGCCCCGGCAACCCCCAGGAAAGGGCGTGTTTTCGCCAGCCCGCTCGCCAAGACCCTCGCTGCTGAGAAGGGCATTGACCTGGCCCAGGTCAGCGGTGAGTGCACACACACACACTTACACACACACACACACACACACACACACACACACACCCCTTCTCTCTGACGCTTGTGTGTGTGTGTGTGTTTTTCAGGCTCTGGTCCTGATGGTAGAGTCACCAGGAAAGACATTGAGACCTTCGTCCCCCCCAAGGCTGCCCCCCCTGCTGTAAGTCACCACAAGAGCACTTTACTGTGTTTATCCTAGATGGGTTTTAACGCTCAGCTTAGTATTGATTATTATTCATGCTTAGTATTGATTATTATACATGCTTAGTATTGATTATTATTCATGCTTAGTATTGATTATTATTCATGCTTAGTATTGATTATTATTCATGCTTAGTATTGATTATTATTCATGATTAGTATTGATTATTATTCATGCTTAGTATTGATTATTATTCATGCTTAGTATTGATTATTATTCATGCTTAGTATTGATTATTATTCATGCTTAGTATTGATTATTATTCATGCTTAGTATTGATTATTATTCATGCTTAGTATTGATTATTATTCATGCTTAGTATTGATTATTATTCATGCTTAACATTGATTATTACTAATGCTCAGCTTAGTATTGATTATTACCAATGCTTAGCTTAGTATTGATTATTACTAATACTTAGAATGTATTATTACCAATGCTTAGCTTAGTATTGATTATTACTAATGCTTAGCATTGATTATTACTAATACTTAGTATGTATTATTACCAATCCTTAGCTTAGTATTGATTATTACTAATACTTAGTATGTATTATTACCAATCCTTAGCTTAGTATTGATTGTTACTAACGCTCAGCTTAGTATTGATTATTACCAATGCTTAGCTTAGTATTGATTGTTACTAATACTTAGCTTACATTTGACATTGTAGTCCTTTAGCAGACGCTCTTATCCAGAGCGACTTACAGGAGCAATTAGGGTTAAGTGCCTTGCTCAAGGGCACATCGACAGATTTTTCACCTAGTCGGCTCGGGGATTAGAACCAGCGACCTTTCGGTTACTGGCACAATGCTCTTAACCACTAAGCTGCTTAGCTTAGTATTGATGATTATTAATATGTAGTATTGATTATTATTAATCCGTAGTATTGATTATTATTAATCCGTAGTATTGATTAGTCTTAATCCGTAGTATTGATTAGTATTAATCCGTAGTATTGATTATTATGATGAATGAGTACTATTGATTATTATTATACATAGTATTGATTATTACCAATGCTTAGCTTAGTATTGATTATTACCAATGCTTAGCTTAGTATTGATTATTACCAATGCTTAGCTTAGTGTTGATTATTATTAATGCTTAGTATTGAATGTTATTCATGCTTAGCTTAGTATTGATTATTATTCATGCTTAGCTTAGTATTGAATATGATTCATGCTTAGCTTAGTATTGATATTTGAGACTTTCATTGATTAATGGTATGTAGACAGAGATCTGATGCAGTGTTTTGTGGGTGTTTCTGTGTGTTTGTGTAGACTCCAGTATCAGCTGCCCGTAGCCCTGCCCCTACACCCTCCCCAGCCGCTGCCGTTTCAACAGGCACCTTCACCGACATCCCCATCAGCAACATAAGACGGGTGAGCTGAGCTAGCAAGCCAAGGAGGGCTCTGTAAGCGCCATTAACGGGTCCAAATTGTGTTTACTTGAACACAATATCACAAATTGTTGTATATTCTGGCTGAGCTAGAGGCATTAAGGTCATACCACATGATCATACATCCCCCTGAAAAATGTTTTACTTGACTGTTAAAAATTCAACAATTATAATTTAAAGTTACTTAAACATACATTTATTGAAAATACAAACAATATATTATTGAAATCGATTTACTGTTTCGTTATTTTTAAACACACACAAGATATCTTCACCATTTAATATGTTCGCTGTGCTAATGTTTATTGATCCAAATTGTGTGAGGAATAATCAACGACGTGGAAGGTGTGTTCCGCGACTCCCTAGAGGTTTATAAATCCGAGTTGATTATTCTTTATCACATGCTATAATTTACACCATTTACAATGTTGACAATGTGTAATGTTGATAGACAATGTAGTAATTTACAGTAGAAAGTGTTATTGTCACAGTATTAAATGTTGTTATTTTCCAGAGATCAAATGTGTGTAATTTGCTTATAAATGTGTATAATTTCCGAGTTAGAAATGTGTTAATTTGCCAGTAGAAATGTGTTAATTTGCCAGGTAGAAATGTGTTAATTGCCAGTAGAAGTGTGTTAATTTGCCAGTAGAAATGTGTTAATTTGCCGGTAGAAATGTGTTAATTTGCCAGTAGAAATGTGTTAATTTGCCAGTAGAAATGTGTTAATTTGCCGGTAGAAATGTGTTAATTTGCCAGTAGAAATGTGTTAATTTGCCAGTAGAAATGTGTTAATTTGCCAGTAGAAATGTGTTAATTTGCCAGTAGAATGTGTTAATTTGCCAGTAGAAGTGTGTTAATTTGCCAGTAGAAATGTGTTAATTTGCCAGGTAGAAAGTGTTTAATTGCCAGTAGAAGTGTGTTAATTTGCCAGTAGAAATGTGTTAATTTGGCCAGTAGAAATGTGTTAATTTGCCAGTAGAAGTGTGTTAATTTGCCCGTAGAAGTGTGTTAATTTGCCAGTAGAAATGTGTTCATTTGCCAGTAGAAATGTGTTCATTGCCAGTAGAAATGGTTAATTGCCAGTAGAAATGTGTTAATTTGCCAGTAGAAATGTGTTAATTTGCCAGTAGAAATGTGTTATTGCCAGTAGAAATGTGTTAATTTGCCAGTAGAAATGGTGTTAATTTGCCAGTAGAAATGTGTTAATTGCCGTAGAAATGTGTTAATTTGCACGGTAGAAAGTGTTAATTTGCCCGTGATAGAAATGTGTTAATTTGCCGGTCGAAATGTGTTAATTTGCCAGTAGAAGTATGTTAATTGCCAGTAGAAATGTGTTAATTTGCCAGTAGAATGTGTTAATTTTGCCAGTAGAAAATGTGTAATTTGCCGGTAGAAGTGTAATTTGCCAGTAGAAATGTGTTAATTTGCCGGTAGAAATGTGTTAATTTGCGTAGAAATGTGTTAATTTGCCGGTAGAAATGTGTTAATTTGCCGGTAGAAATGTGTTAATTTGCCGGTAGAAATGTGTTAATTTGCCGGTAGAAATGTGTTAATTTGCCGGTAGAAATGTGTTAATTTGCCGGTAGAAATGTGTTAATTTGCCGGTAGAAGTGTGTTAATTTGCCGGTAGAAATGTGTTAATTTGCCGGTAGAAATGTGTTAATTTGCCAGTAAATGTGTAATTGCGTAGGTTTAATTTGCCAGTAGAAATGTGTTAATTTGCCAGTAGAAATGTGTTAATTTGCCAGTAGAAATGTGTTAATTTGCCAGTAGAAATGTGTTAATTTGCCGTAGAAAGTGTTATTGCCAGTAGATGTTTAATTTGCCAGTAGAAATGTGTTAATTTGCCGGTAGAAGTGTAATTCCAGTAATGTGTTAATTTGCCGGTAGAAATGTGTTAATTTGCCGGTAGAAATGTGTTAATTTGCCAGTAGAAATGTGTTAATTTGCCGGTAGAAATGTGTTAATTTGCCGGTAGAAATGTGTTAATTTGCCGGTAGAAATGTGTTAATTTGCCAGTAGAAATGTGTTAATTTGCCGGTAGAAATGTGTTAATTTAGCGGTAGAAATGTGTTAATTTGCCGGTAGAAATGTGTTAATTTGCCGGTAGAAATGTGTTAATTTGCCAGTAGAAATGTGTTAATTTGCCGGTAGAAATGTGTTAATTTGCCAGTAGAAGTGTGTTAATTTGCCAGTAGAAGTGTGTTAATTTGCCAGTAGAAATGTGTTAATTTGCCAGTAGAAATGTGTTAATTTGCCAGTAGAAATGTGTTAATTTGCCAGTAGAAATGTGTTAATTTGCCAGTAGAAATGTGTTCAACATCCTCTGAAGTAGCTAGCAAGTTGCCTAGATACTGTAGCTACAGTAGTTGCCATGGTAACCAAACATACTTGCTAGTTTAGCTAACCAAACCATCAGTCCTAGCTTGCCATTATGAAAATCGAATTCAACAATGAAAATAATGTTTTCAATTCGACTTTTATTTTCTAAATCAGCTCAAACATAGAACATGTAAGAAAGTAATATAGTCATTGAATTCTACCGTGCAAATATACTGTGCATTATTGGGAAAATAATGCACACTCTAGAATGCCCTTCAAGCCAATCAGAAACGAGTATTCAACAATGCCATGGTATAAATATATATATTAGTCAACGTTATATCTGACTGGAGGAGGACAGGGTGTGGCATGTGTCTTTTAATGTCAGGTGTTATTGTTGTTCCCTAGGTGATAGTGTTATTGTTGTTCCCTAGGTGATAGTGTTATTGTTGTTCCCTAGGTGATATTGTTATTGTTGTTCCCTAGGTGATATTGTTATTGTTGTTCCCTAGGTGATAGTGCTATTGTTGTTCCCTAGGTGACAGTGTTATTGCTGTTCCCTAGGTGATAGTGTTATTGTTGTTCCCTAGGTGATAGTGTTATTGTTGTTCCCTAGGTGATAGTGTTATTGTTGTTCCCTAGGTGATATTGTTATTGTTGTTCCCTAGGTGATAGTGCTATTGTTGTTCCCTAGGTGACAGTGTTATTGTTGTTCCCTAGGTGATAGTGTTATTGTTGTTCCCTAGGTGATAGTGTTATTGTTGTTCCCTAGGTGATAGTGTTATTGTTGTTCCCTAGGTGATAGTGTTATTGTTGTTCCCTAGGTGATAGTGTTATTGTTGTTCCCTAGGTGATAGTGTTATTGTTGTTCCCTAGGTGATAGTGTTATTGTTGTTCCCTAGGTGATAGTGTTATTGTTGTTCCCTAGGTGATAGTGTTATTGTTGTTCCCTAGGTGATAGTGTTATTGCTGTTCCCTAGGTGATAGTGTTATTGCTGTTCCCTAGGTGATAGTGTTATTGCTGTTCCCTAGGTGATAGTGTTATTGTTGTTCCCTAGGTGATAGTGTTATTGTTGTTCCCTAGGTGATAGTGTTATTGTTGTTCCCTAGGTGATAGTGTTATTTGTTGTTCCCTAGGTGATAGTGTTATTGTTGTTCCCTAGGTGATAGTGTTATTGTTGTTCCCTAGGTGATAGTGTTATTGCTGTTCCCTAGGTGATAGTGTTATTGTTGTTCCCTAGGTGATAGTGTTATTGCTGTTCCCTAGGTGATAGTGTTATTGCTGTTCCCTAGGTGATAGTGTTATTGCTGTTCCCTAGGTGATAGTGTTATTGTTGTTCCCTAGGTGATAGCCCAGAGGTTGATGCAGTCGAAGCAGACCATTCCCCACTACTACCTGTCTGTTGATGTCAACATGGACCAAGTCCTGGAACTACGCATGGAGCTCAACGCTGTGAGTCTGTCTGTCTCTGGCTGTGAGTCTCTCTGTCTGTCGTCTGGCTGGCTGGCTGTCTGTGAGTCTCTCTGTCTGTCGTCTGGCTGGCTGGCTGTCTGTGAGTCTCTCTGTCGTCTGGCTGGCTGGCTGTCTGTGAGTCTCTCTGTCGTCTGGCTGGCTGGCTGGCTGTCTGTGAGTCTCTCTGTCTGTCGTCTGGCTGGCTGGCTGTCTGTGAGTCTCTCTGTCTGTCGTCTGGCTGGCTGGCTGTCTATGAGTCTCTCTGTCGTCTGGCTGGCTGGCTGTCTGTGAGTCTCTCTGTCGTCTGGCTGGCTGGCTGGCTGGCTGTCTGTGAGTCTCTGGCTATCTGTCTTTCTGTGAGTCTCTCTGTCTCTGGCTGTGAGTCTCTCTGTCTGGCTGTCTGTCTGGCTGTGAGTCTCTCTGTCTGGCTGTCTGTCTGACTGTGAGTCTCTCTGACTGGCTGTTGTCTGGCTGTGAGTCTCTCTGACTGGCTGTTGTCTGGCTGTGAGTCTATCTGGCTGGCTGTTGTCTGGCTGTGAGTGTTTGTCTGTCTGTCTGTCTGTAACCTCTCTTCTCACTCTCTCTCCCCCTTCTTGCTCTACCCCCCTCTCTCCCCATTCTCGCTCTCCCCCCCTCTCTCTCTCTCTCTCTCTCGCTCTCCCCCTTCTCTCTCTCTCCCTCTTCTCTCTCTCTCCCCCTTCACTCTCTCCCTCCCCCCTCTCACTCTCTTTCTCACTCCCTTTCTCCCCCTTTCTCCTCCCCTCTCACTCTTTCTCACTCCCTTTCTCCCCCTTTCTCCTCCCCTCTCTCTCTCTCTCTTTCGTCCTCTCTCTCTCACCCCCGTCTCTGCCTCTCTCCTAGGAGGTAAAGGCCCAGAACATCAAGCTGAGTGTGAATGACTTCATCATTAAAGCCAGCGCTCTGGCCTGCCTCAAGGTCCCTGAAGCCAACTCCTCATGGCTCGACTCTGTCATCCGGCAGTGAGTACACACACTGTAACACCTACTCACACCACGCAAAAAAATCAATAGGTCAGGTTTAACCTGTGTGTGTGTGTGTAGGAACCATGTGGTGGATGTGAGTGTGGCGGTGAGTACAGCCAATGGTCTGATAACTCCCATCGTGTTCAACGCCCACACCAAAGGACTGGCTGCCATCAGCTCTGATGTCACAGCCCTGGCTGCCAAGGCCCGCGACGGGAAACTACAGCCACACGAGTTCCAGGTAACTACCGACTACACACTAAAACACACAATGATTACACACACACACACTGAAACAAATGTGTTAAACACACTCACCCAGTTGGTCCCACAGGTTTTAACCCTAACCCACTCACCCAGTTGGTCCCACAGGTTTGAACCCTAACCCACTCACCCAGTTGGTCCCACAGGTTCCAGGAGTTGAATCCTCTGTGTGTTTCAGGGAGGCACGTTTACCATCTCTAACCTGGGAATGTTTGGCGTCAAGAACTTCTCAGCGATCATCAACCCTCCCCAGGCCTGTATACTGGCAGTAGGAGGCTCCGAGAAGAGACTGCTGCCTGCTGACAATGAGAAAGGGTAAATACTCTACCACTATACTATACTACTACTATAACTATACTATACTACATTATACTACTACTATACTATACTATACTATACTACTACTACTATAGCTACACTATACTATACAACTACTATAACTATACTATACTACTGCTACTATAACTATACAATACTACTACTATAACTATACTATACTATACTATACTACTACTATAACTACACTACCACTATACTATACTACTACTATAACTACACTATACTACTACTACTATAACTACACTATACTATACTACTACTACTATAACTACACTATACTATACTACTACTATAACTACACTATACTGCTACTATAACTACACTATACTATACTACTACTACTATAACTACACTATACTATACTACTACTATAACTACACTATACTGCTACTATAACTACACTATACTATACTACTACTATAACTACACTACCACTAACATACTACGAATATAAACTGCACTATACACGCTACGATAACTACACTATACGATACATACGAACAGCATACTACTACTATAACTAGACGAACTACTACAAACGACACGATACGAACTACTACGAGAACTACACAGACCACTAGTACACTATAACTACACTATACACTACTCCTATACTACACTATACTATACTACTACTATAACTACACTATGCTATACTACTACAATAACTACACTACCACTATACTATACTACTACTATAACTATACTATACTACTATAACTACACTATACTATACTACTAATATAACTACACTACCAATATACTATACTACTACTATAACTACACTACCACTATACTATACTATACTACTACTATAACTACACTCTACTACTACTATAACTACACTATACTACTACTACTACTACTACTACTACTACTATAACTACACTACCACTATACTATACTACTACTATAACTACACTATACTACACTATACTATACTGGTCCTCTGTAGCTCAGCTGGTAGAGCACGGCGCTTGTAACGCCAAGGTAGTGGGTTCCATCCCCGGGACCACCCATACACACAAATGTATGCACACATGACTGTAAGTCGCTTTGGATATATTATTATTATTATTATTATTATTATTATTATTATTATTATTATTATTTATACTACTACTATAACTACACTATACTATACTACTACTATAACTACACTATACTATATTACTACTATACTACTACTATAGCTACACTACCACTATACTATAATACTACTATAACTACACTATACTATACTACTACTATAACTACACTATACTGTACTATACTACTACTGTAACTACACTACCACTATACTATACTACTACTATAACTACACTATACTATATTACTACTATACTACTACTATAGCTACACTAACCACTATACTATAATACTACTATAACTACACTATACTATACTACTACTATAACTACACTATACTATACTACTACTATAACTACACTATACTGTACTATACTACTACTATAACTACACTACCACTATACTATACTACTACTATAACTACACTATACTATACTATACTATACTACGACTATACCTACACTATACTATACTACTACTATAACTACACTACCACTATACTATACTACTATAACTACACTATAGTATACTATACTACTAATATAACTACACTATACTATACTATACTACTACTATAACTATACTATACTACTATAACTACACTATACCACCTCTACACATACAGTGCATTCAGAAAGTATTTAGACCCCTTGACATTTTCCACATTTTGTTACGTTACAGCCTTATTCTAAAATGGATTAAATAAATGAAAATCCAAATCAATCTACACACAATACCCCATAATGACAAAGCGAAAAGTTTTTTATTTTTTTACATTTTAGCAAATTGATAAAAAATGAAAAACAGAAATACCTTATTTACATAAGTATTCAGACCCTTTGCTATGAGACTCTAAATTGAGCTCAGGTGCATCCTGTTTCCATTGATCATCCTTGAGATGTTTCTACAACTTGATTGGAGTCCACCTGTGGTAAATTCAATTGATTGGACATGATTTGGAAAGGCACACACCTGTCTTTATAAGGTCCAACAGTTGACAGTGCATGTCAGAGCAAAAACCAAGCCATGAGGTCGAAGGAATTGTCTGTAGAGCTCAGAGACAGGATTGTGTCGAGGCACAGATCTGGGGAAGGGTACCAAAACATTTCTGCAGCATTGAAGGTCCCCTAGAACACAGTGGCCTCCATCATTCTTAAATGGAAGCAGTTTGGAACCACCAAGACTCTTCCTAGAGCTGGCCGCCCGGCCAAACTGAGCAATCGGGGGAGAAGGGCCTTGATCAAGGAGGTGACCAATAACCCGATGGTCACTCTGACAGAGCTCCATAGTTCCTCTGTGGAGATGGGAGAACCTTCCAGAAGGACAACCATCTCTGCAGCACTCCACCAATCAGGCCTTACGGTAGAGTGGCCAGACAGAAGCCATTCCTCAGTAAAAGGCTCATGATTTAATATATCTACACTATACAACATCTACAGTGCCTTTGGAAAGTATTCAGACCCCTTCAATCTACACACAATACCCCATAATGACAAAGCAAAAACAGGTTCTTATAAATGTTTGCAAATGTATTAACATTTTAAATTATAATATCACATTTACATACAGTACCAGTCAAAAGTTTGGACACACCTACTCATTCAAGGGTTTTTCTTAATTTTTACTATTTTCTACATTGTAGAATAATAGTGAAGACATCAAAACTATGAAATAACACATATGGAATCATGTAGTAACCAAAAACGTGTTAAACAAATCAAACCATATTTTATATTTTAGATTATTCAAAGTAGCCACCCTTTGCCTTGATGACAGCTTTGCACACACTTGGCATTCTCTCAACCAGCTTCACCTGGAATGCTTTTCCAACAGTCTTGAAGGAGTTCCCACATATGCTGAGCACTTGTTGGCTGCTTTTCCTTCACTCTGCAGTCCAACTCATTCCAAACCATCTCAATTGGGTTGAGGTCGGGGGATTAGTGGAGGCCAGGTCATCTGATGCAGCACTCCATCACTCTCCTTCTTGGTAAAATAGCCCTTACACAGCCTGGAGGTGTGTTGGGTCATTGTCCTGTTGAAAAACAAATGATAGACCCACTAAGCCCAAACCAGATGGGATGGCGTATCGCTGGAGAATGCTGTGGTAGCCATGCTGGTTAAGTGTGCCTTGAATTCTAAACAAATCCCCTACAGTGTCACCAGCAAAGCACCATCACACCTCCTCCATACTTCACGGTGGGATCCACACATGCGGAGATCATCCGTTCACCAACTCTGCGTCTCACAAAGACACGGCGGTTGGAACCAAAAATCTCAAATTTGGACTTATCAGACCAAAAGGACATATTTCCACCTGTCTAATGTCCATTGCTCGTGTTTCTTGGCCCAAACAATCTCTTCTTATTTTTGGTGTCCTTTAGTAGTGGTTTCTTTGCAACAATTCGACCATGAAGTCCTGATTCACGCAGTCTCCTCTGAACAGTTGATGTTGAGATGTGTCTGTTAAATGAACTCTAACATTTATTTGGGCTGCAATTTCTAAGGCTGGTAACTCTAATGAACGTATCCTCTGCAGCAGAGGTAACTCTGGGTCTTCCTTTCCTGTGGCGGTCCTCATGAGAGCCAGTTTCATCATAGCGCTTGATGGTTTTTGTGACTGTACTTTCATAATGTGACATCATCATGATATTGACATGTTAGGGTTAGGGACAGGGCCTTTAAAACTAAAGGTGATTATACTATGATCTGTCGTGTGTGTGTAGGTTTGACGTGGCCAGCATGATGTCGGTGACGTTGAGTTGTGACCATCGCGTGGTGGACGGAGCGGTCGGAGCTCAGTGGCTCGCAGAGTTCAGGAAGTTCCTGGAGAAGCCTGTCACCATGCTGCTCTGATTGGACAACACCCTCACCAGGCCATGCTGTGGTTGGATGCAGCCATCGCCAAGCTGATCTGATTGGTGGAAACCTTTCATCATGCTTCTGTGATTGGCTGGCCGACAAGGACACTCCCCCTTAAAGGGGTGAGGCAGGACTCCTCCCAGAGTATAACCCCTCCCCCTCTTTCTCTCGCTCTCTGTATTTATTGAGACCAGTTAGTTACAGGTTAGACCAGAGGCCATAATGTCACTCTAACACTCATGTTGTTTATAAAGGGAACTGTTACAGACATGTGTGTGTGTGTGTGTGTGTGTGTGTGTGTGTGTGTGTGTGTGTGTGTGTGTGTGTGTGTGTGTGTGTGTGTGTGTGTGTGTGTGTGTGTGGTGTGTGTGTGTGTGTGTGTGTACCCAGAGTTGGGGAGATTGTGTTAAAAGCCAAAGGAAGATGGAGAATGCCCCCTAGACTCACTCTCATGCACACACACATAAAGACCACCCCAGCCCCTCTGAAGTACGATATGTTGTGTGTGTGAACACATTGACAGGAGGTCTGCAGTTCTGCTGGTTGTTTGTTCTCCCTGGTAGTTAGTTAATTGATTGATTGATGAATGTCACTGATTGGCCAGAGTCCACTCACCTGTATCAAGTCTTTAGAGTGGAAGAATGCCAACCAGCCGTGCTGCTGACCTATTGGTACCTTTATAATGGTGTATCACATGATGGAGGATGCCAACCAGCCGTCCTGCTGACATATTGGTACCTTTATAATGGTGTATCACATGATGTAGGATGGGTGGAATGTTCATTTAGACAGTAGGAGGGGCTTTATTGATGACATCACTCCAGACTCAGCTCTGTGCCAGTCCCCTTGTTCTTATTCCTATCCTTTGATAAAGAACATTCTATTTACATGGCATCAGCTGTAAACAAGTGAAACGCACAAAGAAGTGAAGCTGGATGTATGGTTGCCATGGGAATTATTGCTGAATAAAATGAGCTACTATGGTGCTGTTGTGGAGTGTCATACTGTATATGAATACATATTAACTGGGTGTATCTCCCACAGACACCAGTGCAGTAGAAGCTGGGGCTCATCTGCTTAGTTCATTGACTTTCATTGAACCAGAAAAAAACAGCGAGTGTGGTGTCTCGCTTCCTCTTCTGACTGTGGGAGTAGGTCGACCCTAGCCCCTGTTCTGACCCCTACAGAGAGGAATAGGCGAAGTGAGAAGGTTTACTCCGCCCAAAATCTGTCCATGTTAAGCATATCATTCATTATTAAATTTTTGTATGGGGGGCAATTGAGTACCACAGTATGAGTCATAATACCCATAAAACCTAGCGGTAAAACCCGGAAATGTTTCCAATCGTTTTTCCATAGGGGATTTTAGAACTACTTCATATAAGGGCTGTGTTTCGTGAAGGCTTACCGTGGCGTGATGTTTTGATAACCGCGCAAATCTCTCTCGGACAAGGTAACTTTTATCAAATAATTTGCCTGTAATCACCCCAAAAAATGTAATGCTAATTAGCCGCTAATGTGGCCATCATATAGAACTACACATCCTGTCCCAAGCTTTGATGTAATCACTCAAGGCCGGGAAAACCTCCATATTTCTCCATGCAAACTCTCATCGAGTAGCAAGTAACCTAGCAAGTAGATATTATAGCCTGTTTAGTTTCTCAAGGTGGAGGGTCCGTCATGGTCTGGGGCGGTGTGTCACAGCATCATCGGACTGAGCTTGTTGTCATTGCAGGCAATCTGTTAAACACGTGTATGTGACCAATAAAATTTGATTTGATTTGACTTCAATACAAAACCTAGGAGGCTCTTGGTTCTCATCCCCTTCCATAGACTTACACAGTAATTATGACAACTTCAGGAGGATGTCCTCCAACCTATCAGAGCTCTTGCAGCATGAACTGACCTGTAGTACTGAAAGCATAAGCTACAGCTAGCTAGCACTGCAGTGCATAAAATGTGGTGAGTAGTTGACTCAAAGAGAGCGAAAGACAATAGTTGAACAGTTTTAACAAATTCATTTCTTCAAAAATGAAGCAGAAGCAAGAGAGAGAGATTTCATCATTTCTTCAGTTTCAGTTTCACCTAGCTAGCAAATGCAGCTAGCTAGTTTAGTTACTCAAACACCCAGCTCCAACAGAGGGATGCTATGTTCACTAGCTGGCTATGGCTATCCAACACAACACTGGAACTCTTCCAAGCCAAGGTAAGCTTTTGGTTTTATTAATGTATTGCCACCGGGGCCCGCCGGTGTAACTGCTTACTGACTATACACTGCAACGTTTACTAACGCATTAGTTCTAGTAGCTATGTTGACTAGGATGTTACTTAATATGGGGACAGCGATGTAGGCTGTGTGTAGCGGTTATGACATGGTTTGGCTTGGAAAGGTTTTTTCACCTGGTCACTTACAGCTGAAGTGTTGTTCATTGAAGTCCACAAACGAAGGGAAAAGGTGAGAGGAGGAGAGCGCATAGAGGCGAGAAGGAATACAACGTGGCTGCTATGAAAGTGAACTGTGTTTATGCGTGATCAGGGGTATATTCATTCTGCCGATTCTGTTGAAAAATGTTTCTTAAATGGAAGCAAACGAAATGGTGATAGAAATACCTGAATTTGTCCAATAGAAACTCTCGTTTGCAACTGTTGGACTAATAATTACACCCTAGATCAGCTAGATGCAGGCAAGAGTGTGCAAGGCGGTACTGAATGTATCACGGTCTGTCATCTCAAATTTGTCTCCGAGCTGTGTGCTCCTACGTTGTAAACTTTCATTCATAGGCTAGGTTATAGCAACCTCATGATGGGTACAGGGAAAATTGTAGTATCATGTAGTAGCCTAAACATATCGATGTTACATTGAACTGGGTGAGTGCAATATGAATGACAGTCATCCAACATGCTGTAATAGAAATAAGGCCATCCTCATGAGAAAACAAAATGTGTCCTCCCTCATCACAAACGGCACTGACCGCCACTGATATCCACTACTGTGATAAGCACACATGCATTTTATAGTTTTCCGACCTCTGTAAGCGAGAGGCGTCGCTGGAGCTGTGTGATGACTGTTTGCTAGCTGCTAACAAGCTATTTTGGTGTAGTCCTACTGTTTCAAGTGGTGACATGCCAGCTAACGTTAGCCCACAAGGGCAGGGATATAGCCAGCTAAATATCGCCTGGTGGGCTAGCTAGTTAGGCACCTTGGTGGGCTAGCTAGTTAGGCACCTTGGTGGGCTAGCTAGTTAGGCACCTTGGTGGGCAAGTTGGCTACACTAGCTAACGTTGCACCGTATCTCACTGGTGTAGTCGGACTTTCCCGACAGGCGGTGACATGCCTAACGTTAGTCATAACTAGCTTATGTTCCACCCCTGCATGTCAGTCCCTTTCAGACGATCCCCCTATCACTGTTGGTCCTCCCCAGTGACCTCACATCCCCCTATCACTGTTGGTCCTCCTCAGTGACCTCACATCCCCCTATCACTGTTGGTCCTCCTCAGTGACCTCACATCCCCCTATCACTGTTGGTCCTCCTCAGTGACCTCACATCCCCCTATCACTGTTGGTCCTCCTCAGTGACCTCACATCCCCCTATCACTGTTGGTCCTCCTCAGTGACCTCACATCCCCCTATCACTGTTGGTCCTCCTCTGACCTCACAGCCCCCTATCACTGTTGGTCCTCCTCTGACCTCACATCCCCCTATCACTGTTGGTCCTCCTCAGTGACCTCACATCCCCCTATCACTGTTGGTCCTCCTCAGTGACCTCACATCCCCCTATCACTGGTCTTCCTCAGTGACCTCACATCCCCCTACCACTGTTGGTCCTCCTCAGTGACCTCACAGCCCCCTATCACTGTTGGTCCTCCTCTGACCTCACATCCCCCTATCACTGTTGGTCCTCCTCTGACCTCACAGCCCCCTATCACTGTTGGTCCTCCTCAGTGACCTCACATCCCCCTATCACTGTTGGTCCTCCTCAGTGACCTCACATCCCCCTATCACTGTTGGTCCTCCTCAGTGACCTCACATCCCCCTATCACTGTTGGTCCTCCTCAGTGACCTCACATCCCCCTATCACTGTTGGTCCTCCTCAGTGACCTCACAGCCCCCTATCACTGTTGGTCCTCCTCAGTGACCTCACAGCCCCCTATCACTGTTGGTCCTCCTCAGTGACCTCACAGCTGAGGGTTTTACTTTTTCTCTTGAGAATTAGAATCAGAAGTACAGTCGTATAGCTCATCGCAATACTTCACCTCTACCGGGCTTAAGTACAGTCGAATAGCTCATCGCAATACTTCACCTCTACCGGGCTTCACCTTGACCAGGGTTCCCCAACTGGCGGTGGTTTTATTTGGCCCCCCAACTACAAAAAAAAATAAAAAACTTCTATATCAGCTCCAAGTGATTTTAATTTTAAGAAATCTGTTCCCAAGTATTCCCACGCATAATAGAGAGATGTGATCATATACAAATTCAAGCAAGGTTTGAAAGTATTATGTTTTAGTCAAACATATCTGTTTGGGCTTCTTGCGGTCAATTTGCGGTCTACAAATGATTTGTAATTATGTTCCGCCCTCCTACCATCTGCTCAAGAATAAAAAGGGCCACCGCTGAATCTAGTTTGTCCTGATCTAGTTGATGATCCCTGTCCTAGATTGTCCTGATCTAGTTGATGATCCCTGCCCTAGACTGTCCTGATCTAGTTGATGATCCCTGCCCTAGACTGTCCTGATCTAGTTGATGATCCCTGTCCTAGACTGTCCTGATCTAGTTGATGATCCCTGTCCTAGACTGTCCTTAGTCTAGTTGATGATCCCTGCCCTAGACTGTCCTTAGTCTAGTTGATGATCCCTGTCCTAGACTGTCCTGATCTAGTTGATGATCCCTGCCCTAGACTGTCCTGATCTAGTTGATGATCCCTGCCCTAGACTGTCCTGATCTAGTTGATGATCCCTGTCCTAGACTGTCCTGATCTAGTTGATGATCCCTGCCCTAGACTGTCCTGATCTAGTTGATGATCCCTGTCCTAGACTGTCCTGATCTAGTTGATGATCCCTGCCCTAGACTGTCCTGATCTAGTTGATGATCCCTGTCCTAGACTGTTCTTAGTCTAGTTGATGATCCCTGTCCTAGACTGTCCTTAGTCTAGTTGATGATCCCTTCCCTAGACTGTCCTTAGTCTAGTTGATGATCCCTGTCCTAGACTGTCCTGATCTAGTTGATGATCCCTGCCCTAGACTGTCCTGAATCTAGTTGATGAT